CCCCCCCAGGGGGTTGGGGTTTTCTTTTTTTTTTTTTTTTTTTTAAAAAAAAGGGGGGTTCCTGGGGAGGTTCCCCTGGGGAGGAGGCACGAGGTGCCGGCAGGGCCCAGTGGGGACAGGGGATGTGACCGGGCTTCTGCCCGGCCGCTAGGATCACACCCCCGGGTGCTCTGCTCATGGGCGTGCATGCGAGTGCATCTGTGTGTGCATGCTCCAGTCTGCATCTGCGTGCGTGCACATGTGTGTGTACACATCTACGCGTGTGCGTGCGTGCACGTGTGTGCGTACGTATCGACACACGCATGTGTGTGCACATGTGTGTGTCTCTACATTTACAACATTCTGGAGGGTCCCTTTCCCCCAAATCCCAGGGTGCAGGGAAGCAGCACGCACCCCGGGCGGGCCCTCTCATAGCATCATAAAATCATAGAACCGTTTAGGTTGGAGAAGACCTTTAAGATCATCGAGTCCTGACACTGCCAAGGCGCTCTCGGTCATCCCCTGGCCCCTGTGGCGGGTCCCGGTCCTCAGGGGACCAAAGGCCTGCCAACCCCTCCATGTCTTAACACAGTCCTCACTCAGGCCAGGCTAAAATGAGCACAAACGGTGTTGACTTGCGCTGTCCAAAACGGGCAACAGTCTGGAGTCCCTTTAAAGGAATGGGATAAAGAAATGGCGGAAGCTGTGCTGATGCTGAAACCGGGTCAGAGCCTCCCCATCTCTCCTCAGGCAGCTGGTCTTCTACACGGGAGTTTCCAAATGCTTGGTTAGGAACAACATCTTCCTGCACTTCCCACACCTCAGCTTGCATTCAACACCGAAACCTCTCCCTCATGAAGTCATGCTACAGTTTGTAGGCACTTTCTTTCTCATGGTCCTCTGGGGGTCCCAGTTAGGCCAAGTCTCCCCTTCATATACTTGCTCGTTTAGAGTCTGCCTGTTTAAGGTCTTTCCTGCCTCCATGTAGTTTTTCCTCCCTCTGGACTTCCACTCATCAGTTTTTTCTATGCTTTTGGAGACGTGGCTATCTCTTCAATAGACCCATCTTATGTGCCTGACTAGTCCACTTTGTGGAAAGCGTTCTAAATCCTATGGAAGTGCGTGTTGCAAAGGTAGTGCAGGTATATTAGGTCTAGAGCCCTGTAAAATTCAGTGGGGAAACGGTCCAGACATAAAAGCAAGTGAGTTGAAGTCCGGCTCAGACTTTGAAGAACATGGGACAATGACACAGATCCATGTAGGTCATTTTGACTGTAGAAAAACAGTCTAATTTTTGACTCTTGATACATGACAGAATATCCTGTTTAGGTCTGCCTAAGCTAAGAAATTGAGAAACTTTACCTCCCAAAGAGGTTGACTGAACCAGACATGATTACGTGCCCCAACAAATTAAAGGAAACGGTCTGAAATACACCAAACCACCATGCAACAAATTACTATCAAAATAAGCTGATACCATTTAACACTGGACCCAAATAGGGCAATAACAATTACTTCACCGACAATGAGACACATCTGAGAAATGATGGTGAGAACACCTGCTTCCCAACATCACCCACCAGGAAGTCATGGAGCAATACCCCAACCTTGAATGGCTACTCCTATCTCTTCTTTCCAAATGCTTACATTTATGCTCGGAAACATTGGTAGCATTGTGGTCTGTAGAGAATTTGAGGAATTGTTTCTCTATGTGTGTCTCGACTTTTCTGAAAACAAGATGAAGGTTTTTTTAGCCACCATCCCCTGTAAAATAGCTGTGAAAATAATCTCACATTCTACAAGCTGGACACCCCTGAATGAATTTTACATTGGTCTACAACAACAATTTTTTCAGGAGAGGAATAACAATGAAATAATTTTTTTAAAGATACAACTGGGGTTTTTTTAAGAATCTACGTAGCTTTTAAAATCCAGTCACTGATCTGTTATTAAAAAAAAATGATAAAGGAGAAGTTTGGATAACATCCATGATGCTAGCAGATGATTTTTCATGCTTTTATATGAGAAGGAACTCAAGAAAGACCTCTGCTCTTTCCACCTTGGAGGACAAATCTATTCCTAATGAAGAAGGAAAAAACTGTGTAAACTCTTCCTTTCCCACTTAAGACTTTAATGTGCTCTTCTAGATTCTTACGGAAGGAAATCCAAGGAGACTTTCACTGAAGAGCTATGAGGATCTGCAGACACCGTCTTTAAACACTTTGTTATATATGAAAGCAGTTTCTCCATAAAAACATGCTTCCTCCAGGATCACTGCTTCATAAACTATCTTCTTACTGGCACCATCTTTCGTATTATCATCACCATGCCACACCAAAGAAGCATTATGCCTGACCTGCATGCCTAAGTGATACCAGCCTTCTAACTGGCATCTTATATATATCAAGCCTATCTATTTCATCTTCATCCACAATTTCATCCTCACCAAATCACAGATGCAACTACAAGCACCCAGGTACTTGTTTCCAAGCACCAGGATATCAGGCTCTTTAGAAGTTGCCTCAAGAAAAAGCCTTTAACCTTCCCACCAAACCAGCATGGGTTCTTAGGATACACTAGGATGCATAGATGACATCTGGACTGAAAACTTGGATTCCCTCATTGATTTCTACCACAAATTCGGCAACCAGAATTGTCCATCAAACTATCTCTGGAAAACTTACATCAGCATCAGCTTTCTAGACACCAAGGTCAACATGAAAAATAGCAACCTTCAAACTACTATATGCAGAAAATCCACAGACCAACACACCTCCTTCCACAAACCATCAGCTATCCAAAACACAGTAGAAAAACTGATATATAACCAGCCCACAGACATCACCTCATTTGCTCTGAGGAGAACATTCATGACACGCCCTCACAAACCTACAGATGACGTTCATCCAACAGTGACACTCCTCTAGGATCGCATATTTGAAGAAGCCACCTAAACCTTGTACAAACTTACTACCATAGAGAGAGAAAATCCCCCACTGGGTATCACGTACCGCAATACGCAAAAAAAAGTATACTGGAAAATGTTAACAAGTTGCAACTTACGTTGGAAGAAAATCATACCTTGAAATTATTTTTCCTAGAAACACCCCTCCTTCCTTTCAAAAGACAGTCATCATCAGCAGCGCCATCACTGAAGGCAGGTTTCCATCAGACCAGCGTATACTGGCTAGAACCTGTTCACTCAGGAAAATTAGACCCAAATCTTGCCACAACTGTCATGGTAAATGCGTGCTCCACCAGAACCACCAAAATCCACAGACCCTACACATGTGCATTTTGAAATGTCATAGGCATCACTGCTCTGTGGGTGAAACCAAACAACCACCATGTGCTACCCAATTAGGAAAGAACAGCGACACCCAGTTACCAGTTGGAAAATTGTATTCCCAAAACAACTACTCCATCTCTAACCTTGCAGTCCTTGCAGTCTTGACACTGCAAGATCAAAGATGGGCCAGAAAAATAAAATATATAACTCTATCAGATACCAGACACCATATCAGATGGACTTGAGACAGACCTCTGAGTTTCCCTGCATCTCAAGTCTTGCAGATCTTTGATGGGAATTACCGCTTGATCTGATCATTTAGCTTTTGTCACCTCTTATACTCTTAGCAGGATCAGGATCACCCTCTGCTCCCACAATAGCAAACACTGTTCTCTCAAAAGTCTGAATAATTAAAACAATTAAGTGCAATTCAGAGCAAATTAACTACAACTACCTTCATATTGTCTCTATGTTTTGGACCCAAAGAGTACTTCATCTACCTGAAAATGAATCTGCTTTGTCTAATATCTGCTGTACCCGACTGTTTCTGTTGGCTTAATAAAAGAGATTCTCTTCCTAAAAAATGTGGCTTGCTTTGGATTCTGTGAGGACTAATGACATCGGTAACAGTTCCTGTGAACAAAGTCCTGGCTCTGTAACGCGAACTCTTGACCCCCGTGCAGAATACAGCTCTTAGTTACTGTCTACAAAATACTTGTGTTGCAGGAGACGATCGTGAATGTACTACCTGTTGTGATAAGACTGCCTAACTGCTAGGATTTTTTCATCATTTTGCTTTGAAGCAAAACAGGAAACATAGTGTTTACATAAAAGGCTGTGTTGAAAGCAGGTTCTCATCGCAAAGTCGATTCTCATTGCAAGGTCAAAAGTCTTGAAAAATCTGAAAATGTCAGAGCAGCAAGCCTGCAGGCCAAGGTAAAACATTAGGGGGGGAAAAAAGTCCCTTTTTTTTTTTTTAGTTTGTTCTACTTGAAAATAGGGAGAATCACTACAAGTTCTTCTTCCGACCTCCACTTCAAATGAGGCAGCATTTATTAACTTAGGAGAGGTTATGCAGATGAAATATTCCATTTCATTAAAGCAGTAAGTGCTTCCATCCAACTGCATCATTTTTTTAACAAGCATTGTTAAACAAGTGTTATATTCTTACACTGGTGAGATTTTATTTTGTGGGGAGATGTTCACAACTAGCTTCTCTGCTATTACTACTGGTTGGAATATTTTTGGCAAAATTATTTCATCAGCAAAAGGTTGTTTTGGGCCTGGCATAAATGTTTACTTGAGAAGTATCAGTTTTAAATATGTTTTGGACAGTGAGGTTTCCAAGGAACACAACAGATTTAAAGAGAATCCTGCACTGAAACTCTGATCTACTGAGTTGTTTTGACACAAGTAGTGAAAATATGCAGAGGTGTTTTTCATGCATGCTAGGAGGAAACAAAATTGTACAGCCTCCAAAATTGTCATGAAAAGGACTTAACCATGCTTTTCACTTTTCTACGTGCTATACAGTGATTGATATAAGTAAGTGTGCATGTGTGAAAAGAAGGGTGGCAAAATATGGCCAATAGCACAGAATGCCTCACTGAAGACTTATGCTTTTATTCAAAATTGTCTTCAAGAAAAGGCTGGGAAACAGCAATTGATATAGCAGGAAATAATTGCTATATTTGAAAACAGTGGAAAAAGGCATTAAAATGCCATTTAAATTTCCCAGTGAATTGCCATTCTGCTTCTTTCTAGTCTAGTGGGTATGGTCAAAGGTCAAAACAATGAAGCTGATTTTGAAATCTCAACAGAAATAATTAGCATATTAAAGTCTCTTATGATTATGTAAAAACTCTTAAATTAAGGTAGTAGATACAGCTATTTTCCCCGTTCAGGAAAAAATTAATTGAAATTAAATTGTATGAAAGTTCTTACATTATTTTAGAACTGAAGTCAGTGGCAGGGTGTTGGGGAAAATACTGGGCAATAAGTAAGACAGCAGTTCGTGTCTGTCTACATTTGGTATAATAAAAAAACCCCCCATATTGCTTGTCAGTAGTTCAGAGTCCTTCAGAGCCTGTTAAAAAGCTCAAAGAAATTGGTGAATATATTTTTCAGGACGTTAATAGGTTTTGGATCAGGTTTCTCCAGTCGGGAGGCTCCAAGTCACCTTACATGAACTTCCACAATTTATTTCTTTATTGTACAGGCTTCACACATTGGGATTACATCACCTCAAGGCCTCTTTTTCAGAAAAGATATTTATTTAAGCCAGATATGCT